GAGGCAGTGGAGGGTGAGGATCTCTCAAAATGGGCCTTTTGTCCCCTGATGAAAATCTGTTGGAAAAGATAATAGGAAACAGGGCAGTAGATCTTTTACAAACAGGAAGTGGACCATGAGATGGAGGAAGAGGCAGAGAAGGAGTCGTAAAGACATTGAGACGTGTTATGGACAGGTACCAACTGCCCCCGAGGAATGCAATCATTATATGCTACAACATGTATTAAAATAATTAAATGAAAACTGGAAATCTGGAGGGACTGAGGGGCTGGGGCTGGGATGTAGCTTGGCATGGAGTATGTGGGTTTGTTTCCCAGCACCGCAAGGAAAAAACAATCACCCTCCAGGCCATACTCAGCAAGGCCTTGTGATGCGAAGATGTGTTTCCCTCAAAAGGTGGAGGCAAATCGGATGCAAACTCTTTGCCACGGAGTTCTGAATCCTCTGCTCTTCCCTCCAAGTCCCTTTGCGTACGCACATTTCAAGTTGAGAAGCCAGTGGCAGAATGGTCCATTTATTCGATCCACCAATATTTACTGACAGGCCTGCTTGTTCCAAACATTGGTGACGAGGTGGGCACACTGAGTGAGACAGGCTGCACTTTGAGGAGAATGGTCTGTGGTCACAAGAAGCACAGGGGAACTCTGCCACTGTCCGGGCAGGGGGAGAAGCCCTGTAATTACCAGAGGATGTGCTCTGAGATGGGGAGGACACAATAGGTGGATTGGGGTGTGTGTGTGTGTGTGTGTGTGTGTGTGTGTGTGTGTGTGTGTGTGTGTGAGAGAGAGAGAGAGAGAGAGAGAGAGAGAGAGAGATATATGTGTGTGTGTGAGAGAGAGAGAGAGAGAGAGAGAGAGAGAGAGAGAGAGGTATGTACAAGAGATTGAACCTGAAGAGCCCTGAACTGCATCCCTAGCCCTTTTTATTACTTTTTAAGTTTTGACACAGGACCTCACTAAACTTCCCAAGCTCCCTTTTAAGTTTGAGATCCTCCTGCCTCAGCTTCTTCAGTAGCTGGGATGATAGGTGTGTTCCACCATGTCCAGCCCATCCTATCTTAAATCATCCCCAGGGGTCTTATAATACCTAATGTAATGCAAAGGCTATGGAAATAGTCTTTAGGCTGTGTTGCTCAGGGAATTGTGACAAGGAAAGTCAATGGCTATTCAATACAACAAATTTTTCCAGTATTTTCTATCTGCAGTTGGATAAACCTGTGCACATGGTGCCTGAGGACGTGGAGGGCTGGCTGTGCGTGTCACATGGAGAGCATCAGGGGCTGGGGAGGTAAAAAGCAGGAAATTAGGTAGGAGTGGAAGGTGGCAGAGGGTGCAGCGAGGGCAGTGAGGACGTTTTTACTTCTTTACATTGTGCCAAGTGAAAGTGATGTTTCAGAAAAATCTGGGGGGAGGTAGCAGCACACCCTGTGACTCCAAGGGTTGCAAGTGAAACAGCCAGTGCTGGGCCCTGGGGCGGAGGCCTGACTAGTGTGTTTGAAGATCAGCAGGGCCCATGGAACTCTGGGAGAGGAGCGGATGGGAAGGGGTGCAGACAAAGTCTGAGAAAAAGCAAACGTCAGGGAAAGGAATGTGACAGCCAGGTCTTACAGGATCTTGAAGCCTAAGGTGGGGACTTGGAGTTTTTCACTGGGGGAGAAGGACTCGCAGAGAGAAGTTTCCTGAGGTAGCTGAGGGCCACAGCATGCTAAGCGTTTGCCAGTGGACACACTGGTGAGCCTGGCCATCATCAGCAGGACTCTGGAAGAAGATAGGGAAGTCCTACGGGCCCGGAGCTAAGGCTTCAGCAGCTGCCTCAGCCACCTGATTAATTCATTAATTGCATTAACCGCAGTGTCCACCCCCACAGCGGAACTTCAGGGCTAGTCTCGGGGGTGAGCAGCAGCAGCAGCCAGGACTACGGTGGGCCTGGGCCTGGATTTCCCTGCCTGCCTCCCGGCCTTCACCACTCATGGCCAGGAGCTATTCCCTCTGGTGCCTTCAGGTCTGTCCTGCACCCTCCCAGAGTGTGGGTGACTCTTGGGCCTGAATCTCTAGGGCAGCTCTTCCTGGCTGGGGGGCAGATCCCGCCCAGATCCTGCGGGTGGGACTGGGGTCTGGAGGCTTTATATGGTGGGCTTCAGACTAAACTGGATAGAGGAACCTCTTCTGAGAGCCAGACTGTGGCAGGAAGGCCCTGTGATTTGGCCTCCAGATACAATCAACGCCTGGCCGCTATGTCCAGAAGTTGGGGGCTCACGCAGCAGAGCTACGATGTTTAATCCTTCGAGGCAATTCCTGTCTGGGTCTACTGCCTAACGCTGTCCTAAATTTAATTCCTACAGCGTCTCTTCAAATAGCGGAAGAGAAAAAAACGGAAGGCTTTTGGCCCGCGCAGGTCTCCGTAGCGAGGGGCGGAGCCCGGAAGAGTTCAGGATGGCGGCGCTGCACAGTGACAGTGAGGAGGACCTGGTCAGCTATGGGACGGGCCTGGAACCTCTGGAAGAAGGTGCGGGGCCGGTTGGTCGGCAAGGGCTGTAGAAAACAGGCTGGGGACCAGGATACTAGGATTCGGGGCGCGAACATCATCTTTGCAGCCTCTGCGTGCAACGCCTCTATCGCCCAGGGAGGCAAAGACCCGCGCGCAGCAGAGACGTCCCCTCTGGCCTAGCGCAGGGAGTGTACACCTGTGGCTGCCGGACCTGAGGGATCCGTGAGGGGTCGCAGGCGGCAGCGGCGGAGCTCTGGAGAGCAAGACTTGATGGAGAGAAACCAATGGAGATAAGGAAGTACCATCCCACGAGAGGCGCACGTAGCCAATCGGAGGGAGAGAGAGGCGTGCACGCGCCGGGAGCCAATGGGCAGGCGAGGGCGGGACCTAGACCGAAAGGGTGCTTGGGAGGGATCGACTTGAGGGTCTGAGCTGAGGTCTCTGGATAGAGAGCAAAGAGGACAGGGCTGGCGAGATGGCTCAGTGGTCTAAAGCACCTACATGGAACAAGCTTGGCAAAGCACAGGGACCACGGTT